TTTTTCTATTATTTGAAAATAAAAAAAAGTAAAAATTTTTTTTTTTTTTTTTTTTTTTTGTTAATTTTTTAAAAAAATAATTAAAAAAAAAAAAAACCCTCCCAAATCAGTTGTATTTTTTTTATATTAAGATATATTCAAAATTTAGATATAATCATAATATTTTTTTTTCAATCTTTTATTTCTATATTTTAAATTTATATAAATAGCCAAAAAACAAATAAAAAAAAAAAAAAAAAGAAAAATTAAAAAATTAATTTAAAAAAATAAAAAAATTAAAAAAAAAATTCATGATCATAAAAATAAAATAAATTAAATCACAATATCACAATATCACAATATTACAACAAATAATGGACACCAATATAAATAGTAATAGTACAGAAATAATTAATAGTAGTACTACCAATAGTGTTAATAATAATGATATAGATACAAGCAATAATAATATTAATAACAGCAACAACAATAATAAAAACAATAATAATTTAGATCTAAATTTTTTAGAGAGTTTAAAATTATCAAATAATAATAACAATAGTTACAATATAAATATTGAAAATATTGAAGAGCATGAAGTTATATTTTGGAAGGTCTTTCATAATAATTATTTGCTTGCGAAGATTTTAAGCCATTTAGATCAGAATATAATAGAATATAAAGATGTAAATAAATATTATTTAAATAATAGAATCAAATTTGCAGAGATTAAATCATTAAAGTGGTTAGTCAAGAATCAACAATGGGCGTTACTAAAAGACAAGCTTTTAAGTGACCAATATATTCATGTCACTAGAAGATCAATGGAAATGCTTATAGAAAGTTGCAAAGATAAAGAGCTATTAAAAATAATGTATGGAAAAAGAAGATTTCAAATGGAAATTATTGATCTCGTTTATCACTCTACCATCTACGAAAATGAAGCCGCTTTGGACCTGTTTATCAACTTTTACCATTTGCCTATATTTCCATCCACCCTTCATTATGCAATTTCAATTTGTCAACGTCCAATCATTTTAAATTACTTAGAGGGAAGGTTTCAAACATATAGATCAGATTACCAAAGATATGGCTTTAAACTATTCGTTTAAGTAAATGTAACTGTGAAATGATTCTCTATCTTTTGACTCATCCAGAGCTTTATCAAGTTTCAGAGTTTAATATTATTGGTTTTTCAGAATTTATGCAACTCGAAAATCGAAAAGTTCAAAGATTATTAATCGATTTGGGTTTAGTAAGACCAATGGATCATCGATCAAATTTTTATATTAAAGATATTAAAAATATAACTGTAGATGATTTGAAATTTTATATTCAAGTATATTTTCAACTTTTTACATTATTTAATCATCATCATCAACAACATAATAATAATAATAACAACAATAACAATAACAATAACAATAACAGTAATAACAATAATAATTATCAATCAGTTGATCAAACAAGAGAAATTATTAAAGAATTATTTGAAAAGTCAAATCAATTTATAAATTCAAAAGAAATTGAACAATTAATATTTAAATTCTTTTTAATTCAAAGTCAATGTATTAATAAATTTTTATATTTAGAATATTTAATTCGATACGATGATATCATACCAAACTTGGATGATGAAATGGTATTTCATTATACTTTTTCAGTTTTCAGTTTAAAAGGTTTACAGTATCTTTTTAAAAGAAATATATTTTCTAATGGTTCAAACCATCATTTCAATCGTTATCAAAATGTACAGTTATTTAAAGGCGCTGCAAAGGAAAAAGAGATCATAGAGTTTTTCAAATACTTTTATAATCAACAAAACGAAATTATCAAATTTAAAAAATGGAATGAAGAGTTTACCTTTTTAATTCAACATTGTTCCGTAGAGCTTTTGGATTCTATTAAGCAAATAGAGAATTTCCCGGTTTCATCATTTTTAATACCAGATCTTTATGTAAGCTCTTTTGACACCTACAGATGGTTAATGGAGGTTGTAAAGGCAAATGTTCCAGCCAATAAGTTTGATAGATACACTTATATCTTTGGTCCAATAAATTCAAAAGAAATTGTCGACTTTATTGTTGAAAATGCTGATCTTTTCAAGAGTCAGTTATTAACTGAACACCTCGAAATAGACACTCTAGAACTTGCAACCTACTATCAAAACAAAGCGAATACAAAACCATCAAAGCAAATTTATTCTTATATTTTTATCAAGTCTATTAATGAATGTGATATCGAGTCTATCAAGCAAATGGAAAAACTGGGTATCGTTTTTGGTGATGTTTATTTACAAAATTCAGCAACTGTCGATGAAAATGGCGCAGAGCTTCAAAAAGATCCAAGGTTCCAACTAAAGAAATTTAAGAAACCAATTGAACAAGTTGCCTCTATTTTCGAGTATTTTAGCGACGCAGAAAAAAATTCACACAAGTATTATCTTATTGAAAATATTTTTGAAGACTTGGTTTATCAAGTAATTCAATCATTCACCAGCGAAGAAATACTCAAGCACATTAAGTTTAACATGGGTATTTTAGAAAAAGAACCAGTCGAATATTTAGTTATCTTTATTTTGAAATTAGAATTACCATTGGTCCAGTGGATTCTCGATAATCAATTCAAAGTTAACCTAAGAACCAACCTCAAAATATTGGCCGATATCTTTAGTAACAAATATTACGTAAACCCACAAACATTAAGGTCCGAATATACATCATCACAAGTTATTAAAATGATTGAATACCTTATTGGCCGTATCCCAAAAGAATATATTAGTCATTTTAACCCAATTTACAATTCATTGTACAGAATTTTACTTCAGACCAAAGATTTAACTATGGATATCATCCAAAGAGTCAATGACTTATTTGCAAGTAATTTAATTCTCTTAGAAGTTGGTATTTTTCATATTTACTACTGGTGTCGTACAAAGTCAAATCAAATTGCGAAATATATATTGATGAAACATAGCTGTATAGTATCCGACAAGATCCTTAGAAAATATTATCATGAACAGCGTTGCAACTATAATCACAAAATCTATCGTTATTTAAATCCGCTTATTTTTACATTCAACGTTATCAGCCAAAGTAGCTACAGACAGCTATTCTTTTTATTAAGATTCCAGTTATCAATTCAATACTGCCAGGATCTAAGACATCTCTTTAGAAACGAATTAAACACCATATATAATGAGGATTTCCAATATTTAATATGTGTAGGCCAGTTTGATATTCTCTTAGATATTATAAGAGATTACCCAGAGTCAAAACCAAACTTTAATGACTATTATGTAAATTTAATTAAAGCAATCGATAAGAAATCTTTAAAAAAGTTATTCAATCTCTACTGTAATGATGTTATTCAAAATTTAGATTTAATGCTAGAGGTGGCCATAAAGAAATCACGTTTACCAATCATTGATTTAATTTTAAGTGAATACTCTAAACCAATAGATTATCAAGTTATTTTTTCAACAAATCAATTAGATGTGGCTGAATATTTATTCAAAAATCATATTCAAATTTTTGAAAAAGGTATACCAATTAATAAAAATCAAATGCAAAATCAACAACAACAACAACAACAGCAATATAATCAATATAATCAAAATTATCAACAACAACAACAACAACAATATAATCAACAACAATATAATCAAATGTTTTATAGTAATAATATAGATGCACTAAACAAATATATAATATTTGATAATTCTTTTAACCAAGGTTATATTGAAATGTGTAACCTTATTTTACAATATTTACCTCAAATTTTCATTTTAGATCAAGACAATATTATCAAAGCAATCAAAAACTGCTCAATCAATATATTGCTATATTATTATAATTACTTTAAAAATATTAGCGGTATTGGTAATAATCCACTACTAGATTTTGTTGTTGATTATATAAGAGAACACAACGATTATAAAATTTTAAATTTAAGATAAATAATCAAGTTAAAAATTAAAAAAATATAAAAAAAAAGTAATAATCTATATATTTATTATTTTATAATTATTAATCAATATAAAAAAATTAAATAAAAAACAAATATAATTTATTTATTTAAAATAATTTTCTTTTTTTTTATCAGAAAGCTTTTTTTTTGTGCAATAATACAAATAAATAAAAGCAGAGTTTAGTTTACATTATACCATATATCGTTTAATCTTTTTGACTCTTCTAGGTGTCTAATTCTTTTTTTTTCTTTAATTCTTTTAATAATTGTAATAATTAAAAATATCATTAATATTAAAGATACTGTTGGGATGATTAAAGCAATTGGTATCCATTTTTTATTATGGCTTTGACCGTATGTATTATTGTTAATGTTATTGTTACTATTATTGTTGATACTATAGATATATCCATTATTATTTTTGTTATCTACAGCTTGTGGAATTTGGGTTTTCATATTGGTGCTAGCTTCATTTGAGCCATTCTTTTTATTTGGTAATTCTAAGATGAGTTTATTATTATCTATATCTTGAGTAATGGTTTTGTTATTGTAATCTATAAACTGTAGTTTTGTTATAATTGAATCAACTGGTTTTTTTAATTTGCAATATATATTTTTTTTTCTAAATCCTATTTCTATTGAGCTTTTATCACATATTAAGGTTTCATTTAAATTTGTTATAAATTGAAAAGAAGTGGTTGTATTTTCATTACTATTTTTAAAATAATAACCTTGCAATTGAGCTTGGTGGTTACTATCTATTGATATTTTATAAAAACTACTTTGGACTTCATAAATAGTTTCAATTGGTAAAATTTCGCTGCCGTTTCCATATGCTATTTTTATAGTTATTGGTTCATCGTTGTTTTTAAAAATATCATTATTTCCTGAAAAGTGTGGAATTGCGATTGCTAGGTTGTTGTTTGAAATGTATAAAAAAAAGTTATTATCATCTATTTTGTTGAATATATCAAAGTATTTATAGTATAGTCTGATGCCTCCATTTTGATCTGTAAAATTTCCAAATAAATATAAAACATCATCTTGACTAATGAAGTTTGAAGTTACTATTGGTTCTAAAATAAATTAAAAAAAAATTAATTTTTTTAAAATTAAAAATAAAAAGTGAAAAAAGAGCCCAAATACATACTTTTATCAATTTCAATAGCTTTTGTAAAACAAAATAATGCAAAGAGAATAAATAGAAAACTTTTCATTTTTTTGTTTCTTTTAAATTCCTATAAACTTTTTACCATTAATTCTATATTATTTATATAATATAAAAATAAAAATTACAAAAAAAAAAGATTAATAAATGTATTCTTTAAATAAAAAAAAAAACCAAAAATAAAAGTATTAAAATAATTATCTATTTTTGTAAAATATTTGGTTCTATAATTTTCAGTAATTATTTATTTAACCCACCCACACAGAAATTATTTTTTTCACCCACCATAAATTAAAATAAATTTTATTTTATTTGAATTGGATTAATATCTTTGAATACATATTTGGACATATGTAATATAAGCTTGTTTGGGATTTTAAATTGCTTAAAATCTGTTTAGTTGATAAAGAATATACTTATTTAAGTATATCTTTAATAAATATTATCAACAAATAATACATTTCTTTTTTTTAATATAAATTTAAGTGATTATATTCAAAAAAACATGCTACAAATGTAAAATTAAATAAGGGTAATTATTAAAAAAATTATATTTATTTTATTGATAAACAAAATATTAAAATATTAAAAAATAAATAAAATAAAAAAATTTTTTTTTTTTTTTTTTTTTTAATTTTTATTTTTTTTTAAATTAATGATTCGTTTTTAAAATTTGTATATTACAAATATTAATAATAATATGCTTAGAAATTTATTAACTAGATTTAATATATTCAAATTTAACCATATAAAAGTATTAGGTATAGAAACAAGTTGTGACGACACAAGTGTTGCTATCATAGATAGCAGTGGTCATATATATTCAGAATCAACAAAAGATCAATGGAAATTACACAAAGAGCATAGAGGAATAGTGCCAATCATAGCATCAGAGGCACACGAAAAAAACATTGACTTTGTAGTGGAGGATGCATTAAAAAAATCAAATTTAGCAATCGAGGATATCAATTATATTGCAGTAACGACAGGTCCAGGTTTATCAAGGCCATTAAAAGTCGGTGCTGAAAAAGCGGTATCGATATCAAAGAAATATAATATTCCAATTTTTTCAGTAAATCATTTAGAGGGTCATTCACTGGTTGTCAGAATGGAAAATAAATCAAAACCAGAGTTCCCATTTCTTATTCTTTTGGTTAGCGGTGGTCATTCACAAATTTTAATATGTAAAGGTGTTGGTGAATATCAATTAATAGGAAATACATTGGATGAATCAGTTGGCGAAGCATTGGATAAGGCTGCTCGTTCTTTAGGTTGCGAATTTGGCGAGGTTAATAACGGGGAAAATATAATAACAAATATTCATGGTGGTCAAGCAATCGAAATTTTAGCGAAAAAAGGTGATCCTAACAACTACCCTTTAACATTGCCCTTACTAGCCTCAAAAAACTGCGATTTTTCATTTTCAGGTTTGAGATCATCATTCGACAGGACAATCAACAAAGTAAAATCATCATATAATAAGAAAGACGATGACAAATTAACAAAGATTGAAAAAATTCGTCAAAACAACCAATTGGATAACAGCGAATTGTATAAAGATATAAAATTAACATTAAAAGACCAATTCGATTTAGCAGCATCATTTCAAAATACAGCATTTAAGCACTTAGAACATAGAATTTATAGGTCATTAAAATGGTATTATGGAATACCCGAAAAAAAAGATAAGAGAAATAAAAGCAATAATGAAGAGAACTCTATTGAAATGGAAAATCCCCAAGGACCACCGTTAAATGGTATCGTTGTAAGTGGTGGTGTTTCAAAAAATGAAGAATTAAGAAATCGATTAACTAAAATAGCCGAAGAATTCAATTTACCAATTTATTTCCCAAAACCATCTTTATGCACTGATAATGGAGTAATGATAGCATGGGCCGGTGTAGAAATGTATAATAAAGGGTGTAAAACAACTAATCCCGATCAAATATTTACATTGCCCGTTTGGCCATTAGATAAGAATCCACAGCCATTGTTTAGAGATATCAACCTTGACGAAAAAGAAATATCCGTTCGTAAAAGATGGTATTTAGATGCAGTAGAGAAATACGGTAATAAAAAAGATAATGCAGATAGTAATAATAATATTAATAAATAAATAAAATAAAACATATTATTAAATTGTAAAAAATAATGAATAAATTATTTATAGAATAATAAATAAGAGAGTAATAAAAAAATAAAAAAAAAGAAAATTTTGTTTTGTTTATTTATTAAATTTGTTTATATTGTTTTTTTTCATTTATTTGATTATTAAATGAAATAAAAACCATAGTTTATTAATTTTTTATTTATTTTTATTTATATTCTAATGAAATTTTATTCTTTATTAATAACTATTCTTTAATTTATTTAGCTCCTCCTATCACAATCATTTGTGTGGGGTTAAATAAAAATGATTATATCTAATGATTATATATATGCTATTATTTTTCTATTGTTAATTGATTTTATAGTGAAATTTTTTTTTTTATATTTTTTTATATTTTATATTTTTTTTATCTATTTGATTTTTAAATTTACCAAATTGTATCAAACTTCATTGATGATAAAATATCTAAATTAGGTTGGTATTGTGGTTGAGGTTGTTTTTGTTGGTTTAATGGTTGGTTATTATTAAACTTTTGCTGTTGGTTTGGTGCTGAGATATTTTGATTATTAAAGTTTCTATCAAAGAGTTCACTTCTTTGATATACTTTACTTCCAATATTTTCTCCGTTTTGTGGTTTTAAGGATGAATTTACCAATAATGATTGATTACTACCAATAGAATTGTTGAAATTATATCCATATCTATCAAAAAATGTACTATTATTATTATTGTTAAATTTATTACTGATATTGTTATTATTAAGATTATTAACACTATTATTGTTATTAAAATTACATCTTGGGTTATTATTGAAACCATCGAAATTATTATTATTCATCATGTTTTTATTAATAAAATTATTATTATTTGAAAAAACAGTACTATTGCTATTGAAATTATTATGGGTATTATTATATGATCCAATTATTCCAACATCAGGTACTGACATTGAATAATTACTATTAATGTTATTATTATTTTTTGATGAAAAATATTGTGATGGTTTTTGAGAGCTATTAATAATAATTTGATTGTTATTATTATTTGAAGTTGATTGTGCAGAATTATTAAATTGTAATAATAAATTATTGCTACTATTATAATTAATTTTATTATCATAATCAAAATTATTACTATTCTTGGTACTAATATTATCAATAATTATATTACTATTATTGAAGTTATTTTTATATTGGTGTGGTGATTGTGGAACTTCTTGAATACCTTGGCCTCCAAATTCAAAAACATCATTTTGTTTATGTGGTTGTGAATAAATTTTTTGTTGTTGCTGTTGTTGCTGTTGTTGCTGTTGTTGCTGTTGTTGCTGTTGTTGATTCTTATATGACATAATATGATGAAAAACACTAACATCGATGTTATTTTGATTTGATAGTATTATTTGTTGATTTTGTTGATTTTGCAAACCCATTAAATATTTTTCTTCTGGTTTTTCATTAAAGTCACCATTAAAAGTTTCGTTTGGTTTAAATTGAGAGTAAATGGCCTTTGGTTGAGTTGGAGTTAAAAAAACACCATCTGATTTATTATATACTTGTGGACTGTAGAATGATGGTGGCGATGATACTGATGAGTTTATTGATACATCTGGTGATGAGCAAGATAATGGTGAAGAAGGTAAAGAGAATGATGGTGATGATGGAACTATTTGATTTTTATTATAGCTATTATTATTTGTATCATTATTGTTATTTTGATGAGCTGAAATTTTGACACTATGTTCGTTATTATGTTTTGAAATCTCTACATATTTAGTTAAATTGGCTAAATTAATTAAATCTTTTTTAAATTGTTCTAAAAGTATTAATTTAATTGAGTGGATTTCGTAGTGACATGGAGGATACTTTAAATTACCACCAACAGTGTGAAATGAAAAACTGAAGGTATTTGTATCTTTAAGGATCTCTATTTGACCAATATACTTGTATGGGAGAACTACTTTTAATTTATTATCTTTACTGTGGATTAACATATAATTTTTGTAAAAGTGAATTGATTTTTTTAATTGAACATCTTTTTTATCGATTAAAATTGAATCACTATCTACAAAAAACACTGGGGTTTGAAACATACGCTTACGTGGTAAACGTTGAGCTGGTTGTGATGGAGAAGGTGGAGATTGTGAATTTGAAACTGTAGGAGGCATTGTTTGAATATTATTGTTATTATTATTATTATTATTATTATTATTATTATTATTAATAATATTATTTGTAATATTGTTACTGTTATTAATATTGCTACTATTTTTATTGTTATCATTTAAACCAGTTTGTTGTAGAAGATTTGATAGTAATGATGGGGAACAAAATTTATTATTTTTATAATCATCATTATAATTTATATTGTTTTTGTTATTATTATTTAAATAGTATTCATAAAAATTATTATCTAAATTATTACTATTCATTTTGTATCTTTTTTCGTATTTATATATTATTTTTTTATTATTATTTGTCTCTACTCTTTTTAAAAAAATATACTTTATATTTTAGATAAAATAATTTTTAAAAAATTAATATAATATATCTAAAATAAAAAATATTGATACAATATTTTTTTAAATATTATTATATATTTTATTTTTTTTTTTATTTTTATTTTTTTTTTATTATTTTACTATTATATGTTATTATTATTATATATTTATATATTATACTATATTTATATTATTATTAATTATTATTTATATAAAAGAATGTATATTTTACTATTTTACTATTTTATTTGTTTTTATTATTTATATAAGTAATAATTAGGTAGTGAGTTAAAGAAATAAAAACAATTTTTAAAAAAATCAAAATAAAAAAAAAAAAATGTTTTTCTAATATATAAATAAATTTAAAAGAAAAAAATTAATTAGGATATAAATTGAATTAGAAAAATCACAAATTTAAAAATTAAAAAAAATTAAAAAAAATTAAAAAAAAAAGTTAAAAAATAAAGAAAATTAGTGAAAAAATAAACATATATATAATTATAATAAAAGATTGAAATATATAAATGAACATATAGGAGGGTTGTTTTGATAATTTTAAAAAAAATAAATAAAAATATTTTTTTTAAAATTATATTTTTTTTAAAAATAAAAACACCTAAACCCACTATTAATAACACAAATGTATTGATTATTTTTTAGAAAAAAGAAATAAATATTTTTATAAAAAGAGAAAAATCATAGTTATTTCGGTGAAAAAAAGGGTGGTATTTCATTAAAAAATAAACGTAAAAAAAATCACAAAAACACCATAAAAAATAAACATATATATAATTAGAAAATCTGCTTTTAGTTTTATTTTTTTATTTTTTTTTGGGTAAATGAAATTTTTTTTTTTTTTTTTTTGAAATTTGTCATTTAAAAAAAAATTCTCTTTTTAATTTAAAAGTGAACATTCTTTGAACAAAATTAATTAATTTTGTATAGATATATTTATTTTATTTTTAACATAATTTATGTACACTTTATTTATTCATCATCTAAACTAATTTCTTTTCTTTTTTTTTTCTTTTTTTTATGTTTCAAATAATTAAATAAATTAATTATAAAAAAAAAAAAAAAACAATGTGTGTTAACACCACCTGGGCTGATAATTTTATTTTACCACAAACTTTTTGAAGTTGAAAAATTGATATGTGATTGTTAAGAACGATAAAATAAATTGTAATATACCTCATTAAAATAATAATTGTGTAATAATAATTTTTTTTTTTATTTTAATAATAAAAATACACATTATTTTTTTTTTATATTATTTTTTTTTTATTATTATTCGTCATATTTCGTACAATCATTATTGTTTTAATACAAAATAATGACTACTAAATTAATAACATTAATTTTTATTTTATTATTAGTTAATTGTTCCCAAAGTCTCAGGAAATCAAAATCAAATACCAGCCCGGATTTAGTATTTACATCAAAAGGTAATTATTTTAATTTTTAAAAAAATATAAATAAAAATATCGATCTTAAATTTTTAATTTTTTTTATATTTATTTTGTATATAATAGGTGGACTTAGAGGTATAGTCTATGATAGTCATCGTGTTTTCTATGGTATTCCATTTGCCAGTGCTCCAGTGAATGAATTAAGATGGGAGAGTCCTGTAGAACCAAAGGATTGGAAACATATTAGGGATGCAACACACCAAAAACCACAATGCGCCCAAAGGTGTTCTCTTGGTGATGGGGCATGCTCAGAAGTTGGCACTTCTGAAGATTGTTTATATCTTGATGTATTTACACCAAGAAATGCAAATTCAAATTCGAAATTACCAGTAATAGTATTTTTCCCAGGCGGAGGATTTGTTGTGGGCAGTGGAAGTGTTAAACTTTATGATGCAACTAAATTTGCTAATTCCTCTGTTATTTTTGTTAATACAAACTATAGATTAGGTGTGTTGGGTTTTTTAGGAACTGTGGGTATCATGAATATATTTGTTTTTTTTTTACTGGCGAAATATATTAATTTATTTCTTTTACAAATAGGATTTAATGAGTGGTAATTATGGATTTTTAGATCAAATCAAGGCATTAGAATGGGTAAATAAAAATATAGAAGCATTTGGAGGTGACAAAACTAAAGTAACTATTTTTGGAGAAAGTGCAGGAAGTCTTTCTGTTGCGACTCACATGGTATCGCCATATTCTAAACCCTATTTTCATGCAGCTATTCTTTCATCTACTCCATTTTCTACCGGCTTAAAAGATAAATCAAAAGCTAGAGGTTATGCTACCAGATTTGCAAACTTTATTAACTGTAATGTCGAAGATATAACCTGCCTTCGTAGTAAATCAATGGAAGAGATATTAGATGCACAGGCCAAAGTAAGAATGCAAGTTGGTGAAAAAGTACTAGATACTTTTACTATTTGGGCACCAATCGTCGATGGAGATATCATCCCAAAACAACCATTAACTGCAGCTAAAGATGGTGAGGTCCACAATGTTCCAACAATTATTGGTAATGTATATGATGAGGGAATAATTTTTGTTTATTTAACACACCCAAACAAAATCAATCCACGTCTTTACCCCAAATACCTTTCATTAATGTTTCCGCTAACCTGGAGTCAAATCATCACTAAATATCCAGCTTCTGGTAAAGACGCAAGACCGGCCTTATCAAGAGTAATTAACGATTATTTATTCCGTTGTCCTGATAGATATTTTTTAAACAAATTGGTAAAATCCTCAAAACATAAAGAACCAGTGTATCACTATTTTTATAGCCACATAAAATCTAGCGGTCATCCATTAGAACATTGTGATGGTAGAGTTTGCCATGGCACAGAATTAAGTGTTTTCTTTAATAGCTATGAAGCAATGGGCGAAGAATTAACTCAATATGAACGCGAAATGGCAGTTTCAATCAATAACTATTTTGTTAACTTTGCAAAAACCCACAATCCAAGCGAAGGCTTGAAAGTCCCAATTGATTGGAGTCCAGTTTCAAAGTCTCAAAATGTAACATTAGTTATTGATGATGGTTTCGAACTGGATCATGACAAAATTACAAATGATCCAAAATGTGATATGTTTGATAGACTTTCATATGGAGGATATACAAAATAAATATTTAAACAAAATACCAATTAAATAAAATCACCTAGTATTATTTGTATTAATACTTGATTTTAAAATTTTCATGTATTTATTTTTTTATTTATTTATTTATTATAACTTCACAACTTTGTACTTTTTTTAGTAATTCCTATGTTTGAATATCAGATTGACCAGTTTTTAATTTGAACCAAAAGCCTCGTTTATCCAACTTGAAAATTGTTCACATTTAATTTTGATTTTTAAATTAATTTTACATTATTGTAAAGAAAAAAAAAAGATTTCACCAAATAAAGAAAATATTAATAATTCTAATTTTATGTGAAATTGAACATGAACAATTTTAATTTTTTTTTTTTTTAATTTTTTAATTTTTTTTTTTTTTTTTTCTCATTTTTAAATTAAATTTTTATTATTTTTTTTTTAATTTTATTTCACACATTTTTTTTTATTACATTATTATTTATTTATAAAAATGAATTTATTACCAGATCTAAATCAAATTAAACCACCAACAGATAAATCAAGACTTTGGAAAGATGAATGTTGTTATTGTTTTGATACACCTGTATGTATTTATTAAATAGAATCGAATATTTCATTGTTTTAATAATTAAATATTAATATTAAATTTTTTTTAGGAAAGTAAAAATGGACTCTATATCGATTTAGTTAGCTTGTTATCATTCTGTAAAGATCATTTGCAATTAAATTATTCAAAAACTAAACATCATATATATTTAAATTATAAAAAAGTTGTTGTACCAAATTCCTCAGCATCACCAACATCAAAAGGAAAGAACAAAGATGAAACTAGTGAACAACCACCAAAGAAATTAGCAATCGGAATTGAAGGAGGCTTTGATCCATATCAAGAAGAGGTAAAATATGAAGATCACTATTCACTTTTCATTTTCCCTGATGGCAAAGAAATGGAATTAGACAATCCAGAAGTACCATCAATAGTCAAGCAAACATGTGACAAAATTAAAACTATGAATTCACAAAGCAGAAAAGAAGAAATTGTAAGTTGGAATGCTGAATCTGTATTCCCATCAGCATTTGCAGAATCCATTATTCAAATCGATAATCCAAAAAGAATCAATCCAAAAGGACCATGGAAATGTGATGTTGAGGATTGTGACAAAAAAGAAAATCTTTGGTTAAATTTAACTGATGGCTTTATTGCATGTGGTAGAAAATATGCTGATGGCAGTGGTGGCAATGGACATGCCCAAAAACATTTTGAAGAAACTCAGTATCCAATCTCTGTTAAATTAGGTAGTATCACTAAAGATCATGCCGATGTATATAGTTACCCAGAAGATGAAATGGTTGGTGATCCATTACTTTTCCAACATCTTGCTCATTTCGGTCTCAATCCAAATATTATGGAAAAAACAGAAAAATCAATGGCCGAACTCGAATTGGACCAAAATCTCAATTTCGAATTTGGTAAAATTCAAGAAAAAGGTAAAATTTTAGAAAATGTATTTGGTCCAGGTCTTACAGGTATTGAAAATCTTGGTAATAGTTGCTATATGTCATCAGTACTTCAAATGCTCTTTTCATTAGATGGTTTCCAAAATCGTTATCAATCAAATACTGAACAATCATTCAAAGAAATTACTCAAGATCCAACCCAATCATTTGAAATTCAAATGAACAAACTTGCAGATGGTCTTTTATCAGGCAAATATTCAGTACCAATCGAAACCAACCAACCAAAGAATCCAAATGAAGAATCTGAAAAAGCTACCCAAATTGGTATTGCACCAAAAATGTTCAAATCTTTAGTTGGATCCAATCATCCAGCCTTTTCAACCATGCAACAACAGGATGCTTTAGAATTCTTCCAATATTTAGTTGAATTTATTGATAGAGCCGAATTTTCAAGACCATCATGGATTGATTCTGCCAATCCAACAAAGAATTTCCAATTTCATATGGAAGAAAGAATTCAATGTGGTTCAACAAATAAAGTTAAATATAACAGAAGATTAGAAAATGTTTTATCAGTACCAGTCTCATTAGATGATGCCACCAATAAACCACAAGTTGCTGAATATGAAGAGAAATTAAAAGCAAATAATGGTGTTCGTCCAAAAGATGAAGAAGAGATTAGACCAACCATTCCATTATTATCATGTATTAAAAATTCATTCGAACCATACAAGGTTGATGATTTCCTCAGCCCAGCTACCAACTCTAAAACATTCTCCTTAAACTCATCAAAAATGGCAACTTTCCCAGGTGTTTTAGTTATTCATCTAAAGAAATATACCTACAATGCTGACTATACACCTTTAAAATTAAATGTATTCATGGATGTTCCAGATATTATTGATATTAATAATCTTAGGGGTTTAGGTTTAAAAAATAATGAAGAGCTATTACCAGAATCATCACCACCTGCAGCTGCCAAACCAAAATATTCTCAAGAAATGTTAGATCAAATGTTATCAATGGATATCCCATTAGCTATTGCAAAGAAGGCCTTAACTGCTACTGGTGGTAAAGACGTAGAATTAGCTATGAATTGGGTATTCGAACATAGTGGTGATCCAGGTATCAATGATGAACCTTTACCAGAACCAATATCTGCAAATTTACCAAATCAACAATTAGTATTTAATCCAATTGATATTGACAATTTAGTTTCAATGGGTTTTGACTCTGACCAAGCCAAACTTGGCCTCAAAAAAACTGATGGAAATGTTGAACGTGCTGCTGATTGGTTATTCAGTCATATCGATAACTTGAACGATTTAGTACAAAAAGATAAATCATCCGATTCCTCAGCTCCTAAACCATCAACATCATCATCACTCCAACCAGTCAGTGACGGTGAAGGTAAGTATCAATTATTAGGTTTTATTTCACATTTAGGTAATAATGTTCAACATGGTCATTATGTTTGTCATATCTTAAAAGATGGTAGATGGATTAAATTCAACGATAGACACGTTCAACTTTCTGAACAACCACCAAAAGAATTAGGTTATATTTATTTCTATAGAAGATTATACAATTAAAAAAAAAAAAATCATTATCAAATTTATTTTATATTTATTAAATAAAAGTAATAATAAACAAAAATAATAAAATAAATAAAAAAATAAAAAAAAAGTATAAAAAATAAAAAACAAATTGTATTTTTATCAAGTGTACAAAACTATCCCTTTTTTTTAATTATTTATACATCACCCTTTTTTTGATTTTCTGATTTACTGATAAAATAAAATAAAAATAATTTACTATTACCAATTTTTTAATTAATAAATAATGGTATACTAAATATAACAATATTATTAGTTCTTTATGGTATAATCTTTAAAGATTAATTTTATCATAACCAACTTAGATATTGTTTAATTTTTTTTTATATATTATAATATTGTATATCAATTTTATTAAATTCTCTCATTATATTTTAAATTTAATACTGTTATTAATAAAATCTATATAGATTTTTTTGTTTTTTAACCAAGATAAATAGTTTTTCTGTGTGTTGTTGTTGTTTATGCCAATAGTAATTAAAATCTTCCTTATAAAAAAATTACTATTATTTCTGTTTATATTCCAATTGTTTATATTATACCAAATAATAAAGCAAAGTACCCAAAAATATACAAAAATAATTATTATTATAATAACCATTTGTCTCATTGATATCCCATTTTTTTTAAAAATTATTCATAACAAATTAATTTTTATATGGTTGATTTTTTAGATTACTGAAAAAAGAAAAAAAATAAAATAAAACTAAAAAGATCTTAAAATTTTTATTATTTTTTTTTTTTATCAAACACAGCCAAAAAATTTCGAATTTATTTTTATTTTTTCTATTTATAAAAAAAACAATTTATAAAATATTAATTTAATTCAATTTAATTTATTTATTTGTTATTAATATAATTTTAATCATTCACATTTGGGAAGAAAAAAAAAAAAAAGTATAATAAATCAAAAACACACATCAATAAGCTTTATCATAAACACACAAACATACATACATATATATAACATACAAAAAGACCCTTTTTTTTTTTTTTTTTTTTTTTTTTTTTTTTTTTTTATTTAAATTTTTTAATTTTTTTTTTTTTTTTTTTTAAAAAAAATTTTTATTTTAATTTTTTTTTTTTTTTATTTTAATTTAAATTAAATACATAAATAATTTTTTTTTTTTTTTTAAAAAAATATTCTTTTTTTTGTTATATGAATAAAATCGTATTGCTCTTTAAATCTATCAACACATACAAATATATTTATATAATTATATAACACACACTCACACAAACACACTATAATATAAAAAATAAAAAATAAAAATCATTAAACAAATATAATTATTTTTTTTTTGCCATATTTAACATTATAATTAAAATAGAGTTACAGTGCACAATTAATTATATAGTATATGTTTTATATATTAAACATATAGATAAATTATAATAATAAAGATAATAAATAATAAAGAGATAATAATATAGATACACACAACATTTATATATTGTATATTTTTTTTTATTTTTTTTTATTTTTGTTTTTTTTAAAATTTTTTTTTTTTTCATTCGCAAATTAATTTAATAATTATAAATTTAAATTATTAATACTATACACACACTACTAAAAAGAAAAGAAAGAGATAAAATAATAATAAAAATAATAATAAAAATAATATTAATAATACTTTAAAGAAATAATATAAATTTTAAAAAAAAAAAAAAAATATTTAAAATTTAAAAAAAAAAAAAGCTCGACCAGTAAAATTTAATACAAAAATCTATTTTTTTTTTTTAAAAACTATATTGGCAAAAGGTTATTATGTCTTCTAATGTTTTAGACCATCAACAACAAACTATAAATTCACCACCATCAGATACACCAGATTTAAATCATGATAATAATAATAATGTAAATACTAATAACAATAAAGATAATACCAATATATATAAAAATGGTGTTAATGTAAATAATAGTAATAATAACAATAACAATAATAATAGTAATAGTAGTAATAATAATAATAATAACACTAACAATAACAATAATAACACTAACAGTAGCGAAATAAACACGAATAGTATTGGTGATAATAGTAATGGCCAAACAATAAACTCTACAAGATTAAATGAAAAGGGTGAGAATGAAACAACGACAACCACTACAACAACAGTAACAACCGTTACCACTACATCTAATAAAAGACCTTTAGAAAATGGTTCTAATCAACAACCTCAACAGCAACCACAAGCACAACAACATCAGCAATCACAAGAACCACAACATCAGCAACAGCAACAATATCAACAACCACAGTACCAACAACAGCAGGATCAACAACAACCACAGTATGAAGAAAATGGACAGACATGTAAAAAAATTAAACCAAATGATAATGTAACAGTTTCAAATAACAACTATGACGGTTTTAACAACAACAATAACAATAACAACAATAACAACAATATTAATAGTAATAATAATAGGAAAAGTTTAAAAATTTCTCCACCACAACAATCACAACAACAACCACCAAACACAATTGGTAGCAAAGATAGTTTTGATTTAGATGAAGAAGAGGACTCATTAAATTCAAATACAAATTACGAGCCAAAGAAAACTAAAACCATTCATAGATTAATAGATATTTGTTTAGAGGCATTGGTCAAAGACATCGATAAAATAGATACATTAGAACCTCTTCCAGATGAACTATGCCAAAAGATTATACCATTATTTCAAAGAAGAAAAATACTATCATCAAGGACATTATCACTTTTTAGAAATTGTAAATTAACAAGACTAGAATTATGCGGAAAAGAGGTACCAATAAGCGACGATTGGCTAAACATCACCAAGGGGTTAATGGCATCAACAATCACCTATGTAAATATATCAAAAAATTCATTGCTCACAGATCAAGGTATAGCGAGCTTATCTCATCTCCGTAATTTACAATCATTGGATATCAGTTATGTAGATAAAATTGATGGATCAGGTTTGGCAGCACTAGTAGATGCAGGGGTACCCCTTCAAAAGCTTCAAATGGAAGGTTGTTTGTCATTGAAACTTCCACAACTATTTACAACTCTTTCAAAGTTAAAAACATTATCCTCACTCTATGCTGGTGCTTGTAATATGACCGATGATGATTGCCAACAACTCTCTCAACTTCAAACTCTAACCCATTTAGATGTCTGTAGAAATGCCGTCATCACAAATAGAGGTTTACAATTTATTTGTAATCTATCTCGATTAACAGAGTTGGATATTGGCGGAATTAATCAACTTGATGCTCAAGGTATTAAATGTCTCTTACAACTACCTCATTTAGAAAGTTTAGCAGCTGAAAATTGTGGTATCGATGATAAATGTATGAATTATATTGGTTCATTAAAATCATTGAAATCGCTTTCGCTCATCAATAATCCATTTAGTGATGTCGGTGCTAAACATATTGGTAATCTAATTTATCTTACAACTTTAGATTTATCAATGTGTGCCAATATCACTGATGCAACTTTGGTTCACTTTAGAAATTTATCTCAAATCTCAAAATTAAACTTAAATTTTTGTGGTAATCTTACCGATAGTGGTGTTACTTCTTTGACCGGTGGTTTAAGTCAATTAAAAACATTGGGTATCATTGGTTGCAATAGATTATTGATCAAAGGTTTGTATTTAAATAATATAAAATAGTTTTGTTTTATATCATATTAGTTTATTAATTTTATTATTTATAATTATAGTTAAACATAGACCATTGGTATTATTAGTCGAAGATAATCAATTACAAATTAAAGTTATTTCAAAGGTTATGGAAAGATATAATTTTGATGTTGAAGTAGCCTCAAATGGTCAAATGGCCTTGGATATGTTTAGAGCCAACCCAAGATACGAATTAGTTCTGATGGATATGATTATGCCAATTATGGATGGTTTAACTGCAACAATGTTAATACGAGAATATGAAAGAGAAAGAGGATTAAAAAGAACACCTGTAATTATTCAAACAGCCGATTCAAGAGAAAGTCACAAGTTAATTTGTTTAGCCGCTGGTTGTGATGATTTTATGACCAAGCCTTTAGATAAAAGATTTGTAGATAAAGCATGGAAGCTTTTAAATGAAGAATTTGATACAAATGAAAACAATGAAAATATGAATAATGGAAATAATACCGATAACAATAATAATAATAATAATAACAATGGAAACAATAATAACAATAATAATAGAAATAATGGTTTTAATAATTTAAGTGTTAATATAAATGTATAATTTATATAAAAAAATAAATAAACTATTTTAAAAATGTATATTGCATTATAATATATTATAAAAAAAAAAAAGAAATAAAAGAAAAAATTTTTATATTTTACATTTTATAATCAGAGAGAATTTTATTTAATTTTTATTTAATCTTTAAAACAAACAATATAAGCAATATCCAATCCAATCATTTCGCCATTAGAAATTAAATTATCAACGTATTCAGCAACTTTACTTCTTAAAATAGCTTCTTTTTCTGCACCAATACGTTCAAGTGTAACCTTTGCATCTGGGGTTGATAAAAATATATTTGCATAATCGACACCATTGCTTATAATTTGGTTAAAGAATGTATATCCAGCTTGAACTCTTTGGAAACCAGCATCAAGGGCCATTTTACGGAGCTTAGTTGTGTCACCAAGATGATATGGTGTTCTGGCGCCTGAATCAGCTAATTGAATACCAAGTTCTTTTGCGACGATACCAACAATAGCGAATTGATTTGAATTTTGAGATCTACCCCATACTGAAAAAGCAGCAATACCTCCTTTTTCTAAAACTCTGTAGGAATCACGTAACATTTGATCTGGGTCATTAACTAAATGTAAACAGTAATTTGCAAAATAACGATCGACTGATGAATCTTCAATTGGTAAATGCTCTGCATCACCTTGTTTTAATGTAAAATTCTTTGATTTGATTTCGTCTTCGTTTTGTTTCATACCTAAACGATCTCTTGCCAATGCCAACATCTCTTGTGAAAGGTCACATGCTAAAAACTTTGTTTCATTTTTTTTTAAAAAAAGTGCTAATTCAGTTGATGCACCAGCACCACAAGCAACTTCGACAATTGATTTAATTTTATTATTTGGATGTGTTAAACCAATATTTCCCATTAAAAGCATTGAAACTGGTAATGTAGTTGGTTCATTATAAAATTGAAAAGTTTTGCTGAACTTATCCCATTTTACTTCGAGTTCTTCAGTTGAAAAAATTTTTGTTGGGGTTGACATATCTATAAATAGTTATTATTATTATTATTATTTGTAGTTTTGTAATATTTTATGAAATTTGAAATTTAAAAAAAAAGTTTTTTTAAAACAAAAAAATAAAATAAATTAAATTTTATACAAAAATAAAAAAAAAAATTAAAAAAAAATTAAAAAAAAATAAAAAAAATTTGAGATTTTTTTAAAAGGGACCTTTCGAATACAGAATAAAATTCCAAAAGAAGATTCTTTGTTTGGTTTTTGTTTCATTTCCTTTAAGATAGAACCCAAATTTATTTATATAGTTCAATAAAATTTCATTTATATTTAATGTGGGGGAAAATAAAATTTTATTTATTCATTTTAAAATTATTTTTTGATGGCTTTTAAAAACAAAATTTTTTCAAACAACAGATTTTTTAAAAATCATTTTTTAAACTAACTTTTTTTTTATTTTTTAAAATTTTTTTTATTTTTTAATTTTTATTTTTTTTTATTTTAAAATTTTTTTTTTCTTTTAATTTTTTTTTATTTATCAGCAAAGAATAATAATATTAAAATATTAAAGTATTGTTGTAGTTGGAATTTTTTTTTTTGTTTCATCATCGATATAAACATAATATATGATATATTGTTGTAATTTTCAATTTTATAAAATAGTTGAAATAATAGATCCAAAATTAAAAAAATTAACAAACAACAACAAAAATATTTTAATTTAATTATTTGAATCAATAAAGTCCCATCCGCACAAATTTTTAAAAGACACAGTATTAATCATTTGCACACACCCACACCATACACAATATATTTTTTTTTTATTATTAAATCATTTTTCCACTCACCATTTCAAACGCAACACCCACATACAATTATATAATACACTTACCACACCACCAACATTCAGTTTTTTTAAAAAAAATTTTTTATTTTAAAAAAAAAAAAAAAAAAAAAAAAACTCAATAACAATAATATTTTGTAAATTATAAATAGTTTAACAACAATAATAATCATCTTAAATAATAGTAATAAATAATTTTAAATATAGAAATATATAAAGAAAGAAATGGATAAAAAAAATATAGAAATTGAACCAAAAACTGAAGCAATCAATATGTATAAGCATATAGTTTGTGAAGCAATGTATGCTCCCAATTCATTGCCTGTACATTTATCAGAACCATTTAATATCAATGTTGAATTTATAAGAATATCATCAGATTGGGTAGAATTAGAATTATTAGATAAAAAACATCAAACAATTGATAAAAGTAAATAATAGTAATATTAAATATTAAATAATAAATAATATTAATATTAATCATAATTTTTGTTTTAGTTAAATTAAATACAATTACATCTGTCGAGCCAACAGCAACTAATAGTTCATTAAATACTAGTGGTGGTAGTAACTCACCAATGTTAACAAGATCAAATTCAATTTTAAATAGGGGTGTATTGGGATCCAATTCAAGCAGTGATGATTTATTATTAGGATCAAGTAGTGGTTCAATTGGATCAGGTACAGGCACAATTAGTAAAAGTAAAGCAAGTGCATTATTAGGTATCGAAGAAGCAAATAATAAAGAAAATTCACCAAGTCCAAATAAAAATAGCAAAGCGAGTGCATTATTGGGTTTGGATGAACAGGGTGGAAAAAAAGAAAAAGAAGGTAAAGGGTCAGCAATGTTATCACCAAAATTTGGACTTTTAGCAAGATCAGCCAGTAATAATCTTTTAAAGGTAAACGAACCTTTATCTCCAACCCTCAGTTCATCACCTGCAAATTCATCATTTTTAGTATCAAGTTCTCCACTAAGTATTTCAGGTTCACCAGTATTATCATCATCAACAGGTAGCGGCGGAGGCGGTAGTACATTGAATATATCACCATCCAATATTTCATCGCCACGTGGTAGCGGTCTTGATTTATCAAGTAGTGTATCCTCTTCGAACGGTAGTCCATCATCATTATTATCAATGTCCCAAAGTATTAGCAATACAAGTGCATCATTACATTATAATCAAGGCTTCACATTAGTTTCATCTTCGAAAAATTTCACATTTAATGCAGCAGATAAAGATAGTTTAACTCATATTTTAAATAGCATTAAAATGATTTCTTTAGGCAGACTCCACCAAGAGCAACTCCAGCAAACATTTGACGCCATAGTTGAATCTATTCAAATTTCTCAACTTTGTAAAATACCACCCATTCCACCTCTTCCTTCACCACCACCACCACCTCCAACTATTTTACTTTTAAATTCTTCACAATAATAACAACAACAATAATAATTATAAAAAAAAAAAAAAAAAAAAAAATGTATTTTTAAAAATTAATAAAAATAATATTTATATGTAATAATAAAATATAAAATTTAGAGTTAATTAATTATTAATTATAAATTGTTAATTATTTACAAAAAATAACCATTGTTTTCCTAATGATTTACTATTTATTTTATTTTTTTTATTGTTAACATTTGGTTTTATTTATATTTTATATTGTATTAAAAAATTAATTTAATTTCTCTTCTTTTTACCACCGGTTGATACAGAGTTGGCTTCCTCAATTTTGGAATGGATTTTATGTGATACATGATTTAAATAGAAAACAATAGCAATTGATGAAAGAACACTAACAGTACCCGAAACTCTGTGAACTGTTGAACTTATAATTGCAGTTGTGAAAATTGAAAAAATTAATTCGAACCATTTAATATCTCTTTTAATTGATCCAATAAACTATTTTGATAATATTATTATTATTATTATTTTTATTATTGTGGATATTATTGTTATTATTTTTTAAGTTTTAATATTAGTTAGAATAATTAGTAATCTTTGAAACAAAGTATTAGTAATGATTTATAAAACTTACTGTGATTTGGAAAAAGAATAATAATGAACCAATTAAACCACCAATAATAGTACCAACTTCGCTACTTTTAAAGTATGGGGCACCAAATCTTAAAACACCAATTACTATAACCCACATAACTGAGGTAATAAGTAAGGTTGTTGATTCACTTGGTTGACGAAATGACATTTTATTTAAATATAATAAAAAAGATTTATAAATAAAATTTTTAATAATAAATAAAAAAAAAAGAAAATATAAAAAAAAAATTAAAAAAAAATTTAAAAAAATGAAAAAAATTATAAAAAAAAAAAAAATTAAAAAAATAAAAAAAAATGATGATCAATATTGGAAAACTATAAATCTAAATTTTATTTATTTTTTTATATGGTTATATGTATTGATTCAATTTAAATAATACATTGGGAATAATAAGATTGATTAAACACTTCATTGTTTGAACAAGTGTTTAATGGATCGTATAGGGAATAAAGTGGATCTTGACATAATGTGTCATTATAGAATGTATAGGAAAAGAAAGTTGAATTACATGACCCAATTAAAATTGGAGAAACATCGTTATTACAATTATCTTTATATGGAAAGTTTTTTAAAAAAAATTAGTATGGGAATTTATTTTTTTTTAAAATAAAAAAAAAATTATTACCTAGTTTAAAGAATTTTTGATGATATAATTCAGATTGGTCACAACCACGATCATTAAATGAGGATACTGAATAGCTATTTGTCATTGGTGAAATATCTTCGACACAAGTATAATAGTAGGTGGAGTTATACATATCGGTGCAACCAAATGGAACTGATTGGGTTTTTCCAAATATTTTACAATCGAAATCTTCAAATATCGATATTTCTACAGTTTGATTTTCGTAATTGCAGTCATATTTGAATCCATCAACACATTGAGATACAGCATAATAATCTACTTGGTTTTCATTTGGACAAACATTACTTAGCTGATCGGTTGTAATAGTTGACATTACATATTTATAAATACCCCCGCTGCCGCTGCTGCTACCGCTATTACCACTGTCACTATTTAAATTAAATTTATTATTTTTATTTGTTATTGCCGATGAAACAATGGTTAAACATAATATAAAAAATATTATATTTAAAATTATTTTGTGTTGTTTTTTTAACATTTTATTGTATCTGTGTGTATAAATACCGAAAAAACAGTAATTTAATACGAAATATAATGTTTGAAAATATTATGATGGTTGTGGATTTAAAAAATTGATATTTAAAAAAAAAAAAAATTAAAATAAATAAATTTTAAAAGAAAAAAAAAATATCTTTTTAATTTTTTCAGTTTTTTTCAGTTTTTTTTTTGAGTAAATAATATCAACAATCAATCTTAATAAAGAGATAAATAATAGTATTATAATAATAAAAAAACAGAAATGAAAATTAAAAATTTAGATCATTTAGTATTGACTGTTGCTAATATAGAAAATACATGCAAGTTTTATAATAGTGTGTTGGGTATGAAGATAATAACATTCAAAGAAACAAGAAAAGCATTAGAGTTTGGGAATCAGAAAATTAATTTACACTTGAAAGGAAAAGAATTTGAACCAAAATCCAAATTCCCAACTGCAGGTTCCGCAGATTTATGCTTTATATCCGAAACACCTTTATTAGAGGTAATTAAAGAGCTAAAAGAAAAAAATATAGAAATAGAGGAAGGACCCGTTGAAAGAACAGGAGCAGTGGGTAAAATAAATTCAGTATACATCAGAGATCCAGATTTTAATTTAATTGAAATCTCTAATTATATATAAAAATTAATAAATAGAATAGAATAAAATAATAAAAATTAATCAAAGTCTATTATAAAGAAAAAAATTAAAAAAGAAACAAATTAAAAAAGAAACAAATAAATAAATTCTATTTATTGTTTTCTTTCATTTTATTTATTTGTTTGTTTGTTTGTTTTTTGTTTGCTGGTTTTTATTTATTATTTAATATTTTTTTTTAAAGATTTGTATATACATTTAAAAGTTAAATAATTCTTTTTTAAATAGTCACCTACATAATTAATTTCATGTAAATAAAATTTGGTAATTGGTGGATTTTCTTTTAATAGATTGTCAATAGATTCTATATATTCCTTTTCATTCTTTAAGGTGTTTATAAATTCTGATTTAAACTTTAGAATTCTTTTATTACCTTGAGTTTTATTTGAAACTGATAGATGTTGATCAGTGTAGTCATTTAAATTTGAAGTTATTGAACCCTTGATAATATATTCGAATATTGATGGTACATGAATTCCACTTAGTTTTAAACTTTTTAGTGATTTGTTAAATAAAATCATTGAACCAAAATTTTCAATAAACTGAATAGGGAATGTTTTTTCGTTTTGATAGTTTCCAGTATAGAATTGATTAAGTTCATAACTTTCTGGACATCTATGGGTGATAGACAATGAGGTTAAATGCTTATGATTTAAAATACTACTATGGATAAATTGCCAATGTTGATAAAATGTTGAATCATCTCCGGTATGAACTGATATTGGTGTATTGCATACACATGGTTTTGTTCTTTTTTCACTGAGATAATATATTAATGTGTCATAACATATTTGGAATGATAAATTTTTAATATTTGGTGATGATTTCATTAAATAATATAGCTCTTCAACTGTTATTGGTTCATAGTAATTTAATTCTTTAAAAGATAATATATTGTTATTATTGCTATTGCCATTACCATTATTGTTTGTAGTGGTTGTAGTAGTGGTAGTTGAGGTTATATTAGTTCTATTGTTATTTAATTGATTATTAATAAATAATTCATAGCCTTTTGAAAATTGAATTATATTGCTTGTTGGGAATAAAAGTAATTTCTTTGGTCTAAAATATTTGATATATTCTAAAGCTACAAGTTCGCACTCTTCATCAAAATCGGACCAAATGTTTAATAGAGAAACATTTAACTTGCATGGAGGTGTTAAAAAAGGAGCGTCATGTTCATATATATCGTGAATGTCACAGTTTATATCTATTTTATAGTTGCCCAAATCTATATGCTCTGTGAATAAATACCAATCATCTGCACTTGTAAAAGTACTAGAAAGAATGATTTTTTTTAAATTTGCAAATTTCTTTATTTTTTCATTAATTTCTCTACAATATTCTTTGCAATACACCTGAGTTAATCGTAATACCTTTATATTCTCTTCCTTGATTAATGAAAACTTGTTATTGTTTTTATTAGACATTTCTGTTGATGGGTGGCTGTAGAGTTGATAGTTGCTCATCAACGAAAATGATTGGTTTGATTTTGTTTTATAATTGAAATTGTCGTTTGCACAATAAAGATTGTTTGAAACTGTTTTAAACCAATCCCAATTCACCATTGCAATAGATAGAATTTTACATTTGAATCTTTTTTCACATGGAATCATTTTATAATAGTCATGGTTTTTATCTTTTCTATTAATTTCATTTATTAATAGTTTTATTATATATTTTTGAAGATATATTGGTAACTCTATAGAATTGACTTTAATGTTATTTTGTTGATTTTTTTGTGGTTTTTTTAATTGTTGATTCTTTAATTTATTTTTGTTATTTTTATTTCTTAAATTACTATTGTTATTATTAAATGAGTTTAGATTATTAAAACTATTATTATTATAATTATTATTATTAACACTGCTGGCACCACTGCTACTATCTCTACATCTTTTATTCCCAATAATGTTTTGATTTAAATCTTCAAATTTGTTATTAATAATTTCCATTGGAATTATGTGATATTTTATTTTTTTTTTATAAAAATTATTTCTTAAAAACTTTTAAATAAATATTAAAAAGATAAATAAATATTTGTATATTTAGTGTGTAAAATTTATTATTATTATTATTATTATAAAAATATAAAATAAAAATATTTTTAAACTGTTTAAATTTATTAAAAAATATTAATAAAAAAAAAAAAATAAAATGTTAAAATTTTATATTTAATTTAAATTAAAAAAATTATTTTTATTATTTTTTTTATTATTTTTTTTATTATTTTTTTCTTTTTTTTTTTAAAAAAAAAAAAAAAAAAAACAATAAATTAGGAGGGTGTGTGTGGATTGTTTAAAAAAAAAAAATAATAATAATAGATATTAAAATATCATACATGAATTAAAAAAATAATATGTTTAGTGTGGGTATGTGTGATTATTATTTTCCCTCTAAAAAGAATTAAAATAAAAGATTTAAATCTAAATTTGGGAAAAAATCAAATCTATCGATATTTTTTCACATATTTTTTTTGTAAACTTTTAAAACACGTGTTTTCAAATCTTTAATCAGTGTTTAATTTCATTTCTTTTTTTTTTTATTATTTTTTTTTCAAATTTTCATTTTTTTTTATTTTTTTATTATTTTTTTTTATTTTTTTTTATTTTTTTTTTATTTTTTTTTTGATTAGATATTATATTTTATAAAAAGTTATTTATTATAACTTTTAAATTTTAAAGTTTTAAAGTTATAAAAATATAAATTATTAAAATTAAATAAAAAAATGATCAAATAAATCAAAATAATATTTTAAAATGTAAAATGTTTAATTTTGCAGTTTTTATTTTTTTAAAATAATTATTTTATAAAAATAGAAAAAAGTTCTATTTTTATCTTTTTTATGTTTATATAATAACTATTTTATTTTAAAATAAAGTTACTAAATATAAAAAATTATTTTAATTATTCAAAAAAATAAAAAAGGAAAAAAAAATAAAAAAAAATTAATTTTAAAATAAATGAACTGAACAATAACTTAAATCTCATTTCGAGATTCCTCTTCAAAATCAAGATATATATCATAAAATTTGAATTTTTTAAAATAATAGGGGGTGATACAGATTTGTATTTTTTTGTAAAAATAAAAATAAAACAATAAAAACAAGGTGAAATGGTATACGTCCATATTAATCCTAATAAAAAAAAATAAAAAAAATTATTATTATTATAACTAACTTCACTTGTGTTATTTATATATTCCTAGAATATAAAGATAAAAATTATCATTGTTCGTATTATTATTATTACAAAAATTATTATACAAAATTTATTATATGTGGTTGAACATAAGTGTTTGAACAGATATAAAAAAAATTCTTAAGGATTATGTAAAAAAATTCTGCGTATATTATATACAAAAAATGAAAAAAAATAAAAGTAAAATTTAAAAATTTTGTGGGTGAGTGTGAAATTTTGAGTGTTATTGTGTGTGTTATGGGTAAGTACACTATACCTTGTGATACTGTATCTGATTGAAAAAAAAAAAATTTGTTATTTTTGTAAATAAAATTTTTTCCATTATAAAGCCAAAAAATAATACACCAAAAAATTAATACACCTTACTGTTGGTCCAAAAATAAGTTTTTCAAATATTAAATTATATTTATTTTCTTTTTTATTTTTTCCTATATATAATAAGATTTATTAATTTTTTTTAAATTTTTATTCTGATTTTTTTATTTGGTATAACTTTAATAATAACTATATACAATGTCTTATGTTGCCCTCCCATCTTTCCAAAAAACTTTTGGTGAAATCACATTCCTCAATCCTATCAACCATACACATATTGAACAAAATAATAATAATACTTATAATTATATGGAAACATATAATAATATCAATTGTAATAAGAATAATATAAATAGTGATATTAAAAACATACCTTCTTTAAAACCCTTTGGTGATAATAAAAAAACTCCATGCGGATACCATAGTTGCATTCTATGTGAAATGGGCACTCCTTTCATTTTGTTAAAAAAGTCAACCTGGGAAAACAAGCTCTTAGCTTCTTTCTATTGTATCAACCTTCAAAAAGGAAGATCTCCTAATAGTTGGGTAAGCCTTAAAAGAGAATTGTATCCATTTATTCTTTTCCATTATAAACAACTTTTAATTAATATTTGTAAGTAAAACTATATTTATTATATCTCTTCTTATTTGTTTATTATATTAATTAATAATTTATTTAAATTTAAAAAAGCAAATTTGAGATGGAAAAAGCTATTACAAGATATATTGAACCACAAGAAAACAGTATTTGAATCGGGCATTAAGCACTTTAGAGGAGCTACTGGCAACTGGAGAATTAAATATATTGTTAATCCATGGATGATGCGTACTACTTTAAAAAAAGAAATTTTAATTAAAGAGAGACTCTTGAAAAATAATGTATGTTAATTTTTTATTATGTATTAATTTACATTTAATTTAAAAAAAACATTTTTAAATTTGTATTTTATAAATTTTCCAGTGGAACAGCTTATAATCAAAGATTGTAAAATGCCCATATACTGTACACCATTTTTTTTTTTTAAAAAAAAACAACAAAAATTAAAAAAAAAAAAAAAATTTAAATAAAAATAAATATTATAAAAAGAATTTTTTAATTTTTTTTTTTTTTTGCTCAATAATTAACTTTTTTTTTCCCCAACATATATACTTAGTATTTTTTATTCAATTAAAATTTTTTTATATAAAAACATTAAATTTTAAAAAATTAATCTAAAAATAACATCAAAATGTTGTGATTGTCCCCTTTTTTCAATTTACTTTTTTTTATTTTTTTATTTTTTTTTAATACCTTTTTTTTTTGAGTGAAGATCCAAATATTATTAAAACAATCATTTATACAAATAATTTTTATTAATATTACAGGTAAGTAAATTTGCTTGTTATTATCTCTTCATTTTTGTATTTACATTTATTTACTTTTTTGTTTATTTTCATAAAATTATATTAATTATAATAATCAACCTTTGTTTTATTTATATTTTTCAAATTCACACTACACCACACACTTTCTCAAAATTGAACAACCACATTTTTTTTCATTTTTCGTTGAATGTGGGGTATTTCATATAAAAAACAAATTATATATACTAATTTTACTAAAAATAAATAAATCTTGTCTCATTGTATAATAGCAACATTATTGCATATCTTTGTACATTTAGATTATCAAGATTAATTATTTTTTATTTTTTATTTATTTAAATTTAATTTCTTTTCACTATTCTTTTTTTTTAATAAATAAAAAAAATATTTTTATATTTTTATTTTATATAGACTAAAATGAAAAGAGCATTAAAAGAACTAGAAGAATCCAAAACACCAACCAATTTAGGGAGTTTAAACACAAATGCTTCTACTAATGCTAGCTCCTCTACAACCTCAACATCAACCCCAACCTCAACACCAACATCAACCTCAACACCAACCTCTATATCTTACTTAAATACTATTAATAATAATAATTATAATACTAATAACAATAATAACAACAATAGTAGTAGTAGCAATGTTAATAGTGGTGGTAATAGCAATAATAATAATAATAACAACAATAATAATAATCAACCATCTGCCCCAAGGTGCTATCTCGGTGAGAACTGTTCATTATGCAATTTAGGTACTCCGAGAGTTTTTAGAAATAAAAAAACTTGGAAAATAATATTAGTTATAACTTTTTATTCAATCAAGCACCTTAGAGAAGGTGAATGGTCTAAACTGGATGATATATATAACTTTATAGAAACCCATGCACATCAATTTGATCTAGTAGTAAGGAGTTTGTATAAATCTATTGTTAAAACCTTAACAATATTATTAATAATACCATACTAATTTTTTTTTAAAAAAAACAAAGGTGATGGCCTAAAGAATCCAATATTAAATTGCCTAACCCATAATAGTATATTTGTAAACGGTGCAAAGCTAATGAATCTTTATAAATTTTGGAAAATGGTAGAATTAGTTGATCCATGGAACGATAAATTAATGGAAGAATTTTTAGAAAAAGAAAAACAAAAAGATAAGGAAAAGTTAAAGAAGAAGAGATTCAACCCAGAAGATGATGATGAAGGTTCAGATTCTTTTGATAAAAAAAATGCTATCAATAACTATCCAAAACTCCTTAATTAAGATTAACATTATCTTAAAAAAGAATTTTATCTTTCATTATATGTAAAAAAGAATTAGCTAAACACTAATTATTGTTTTACTATATAAAATCTAATTATGATTATTAAAAATAAATATTTTGACCCTAATAGTTAAAATCAATTTTACTTTAAAGCTAGTTTGATTTTTTTTTTTTTTTTTTTTTTTTTTTTTTTTTTTTAAATTAAATTTTTCATTTTTTATTTTTTTTTATTTCATTTTATTTTTATATAAAGTTATAAACAATAATGTCAAAAGCAGCACATAATCCAGCAACCGATGGTTTAAGTGAGGAAGAGGAAAATCAACTTTGGGAAAAAAGTATTCAAACATGGAAACAACAAAAAGAAGAAAGAAGAAAAAAAAATGAAGAGTTAATAGCAAAAGGCGAAAAACCGATAGATTATGATAATGATTGGAAAGATTTACCAATTTTTATGAATGATTTAAAAGAAGGTGATAACGAACATGTTGCAGCATTACAAGCAATCACAGATGAATCAACACCAGATGAAATCGCAGAAAACTACAAAGAATTGGGTAATGATTATTTTAGAGCTGGTAAAGCAAGATATAAGGAAGCCCTTCACTACTACAACAAAGCATTATCAGTTAAATGTGACGACTTAAAAAAAAACTCTGCTTATTTAACCAATAGAGCTGCTGTTAATTTAGAACTTGGCAACTATAGAAATGTAATTCAAGATTGTACAATTGCCATCGAATTCAATCCATTAAATATTAAAGGTTATTTCCGTATGGCCAAAGCTTTTATTGCATTAAGTAAATTTAAAGAAGCTATCGAAACATGCGATAAAGGTATCGAACAAGACCCAGAATCAAAAGATTTACCAACTCTTAAACAAACTGCCCAAAAGAAAATAGATGATATCAAAAGACGTGAACAAGAAAAAATTGATAGAGAAACTAAAAAAGAACAAGAACTAAACGCTTTAGCAACAAAACTTTATGAAAAAAATAAATATAAATTAGGTCACCCAATCATGGATCTCAGTCAATATACTTATCAATCAGATAGAAAAATTTCATTCGACGAAAATGGTGATGTTCATTTCCCAGTTGTATTTTTATATCCTGAATTTGGCAAAAGGTAATTATTCATTAAAAATAATATTTAAAATCATGTTAACATTTACAAATACTAATATTTAATTTGTTTATATATAGCGATTTTATTATGGATTTCCAAGAGGATCACACTTTTGGTGATCATTTATCAATGATGTTCCCACCTGAAAACCCAGAATTCCCACCATGGGACAGCAAGAAGGAATACTCTGTTGATAATATTGAAGTTTATTTCGAAACAAACTATACCAAACCAATTTTACCAAATATTAAAACCAAAGAAGAAAAAAGGTGGATTAGAATTAAACATACTACAGCAATCGCTGCAGTATTAGCACATGCCGAATATATTATACCTCAACTCCCATTATTTTATGTTGTAGCAAAAGGAAATTTATTTTATAAAAAATTTTTAGAAAAACAAATAAAATAAAACTGTCTAATTAAACACAATTTGTAAAAATCGATATATCTATTTTATAAACTCTATAAAATAAATAAAATTAAACAAAATAAAATATAAAGGTCTATTTTTAAAAAGTAAAACTATAATAACAGTTTAATTAATTTACATTTCTTTTTTTTTATTTTATTTTTTTATTATAAAAAATAATCAAAGAAAAAAAAAAAATTATTTTAAATTATATATTATATAATGTGTGGAAATTAACGGAAATGGAATTGGAAACCGCCGCCACCACCACCGCCACCTTGTTGGAAACCTTGGAAGCCTTGGAAATTGAAGCCACCTGGGAAACCACCGTGGAAACCTTGGAAGCCACCGCCACCACCTCCACCCATTGGGTCATTGAGATCTTCACCCATATCATAACGTCTACGTTTTTCTTCATCCTTCAAAGCTTCGTAGGCTTCATTAATTTCCATATACATTTTTTCAGCCTTTTCTTTATCTTCATGTTTACTCTTATCTGGATGGTTCTTGATAGCTAATTTTTTGAAAGCTTTTTTAACCTCTTCATTAGAGGCAGTTTTTGGTATACCTAAAATCTTGTAATAATCTTTTCTCTTTTCCATTTTTTGTGCTTTTTGAGCTCTTCTAATACCTTCATGCACCTGTTGGTCATTTGGTTTGAATTCTCTTGCTTTATTGTAATCGTTTAAGGCTTTTTGATAATCATCTTCAAACATAAAAGCTTCACCTCTATGGAAGTATGCGTCGCCATTTGAATCATCCAATTCGATTGCCTTGTCACAAGCTTCAATTGATTCTTTGGATTTCTTTAACTTTAAGAGTGCTCTACATTTTAAGAGATAAAGTGGAGTGGAATAAACATTACTATTTGGTTCTATTTCGAGTGCTATATCTGCTTGATTTAAAGATTCTTGATATTTATTTTGGTTGAATAATTCATTTGCGTTACCTGTTGCTTTTTCGAATCTTGTGATGGTTTTTAACATTTCTCTACAATCGTTATCATCTGGACTAAATTTAAGTGCTTCCCTTAAGAATTTTAATGCAACTTCTTTTTCACCCATTGAAAAGAAAGTTCTGCCTCTCCAATATAAAGCTTTAACAGAGGATGGTTCAGCTTTAAGAATGGACATAGTTTCATCCAAAACTCTTCTATTGTCACCGTTATGGTAGAAACATTCGATGGCCATTAAACGTGCTTCTTTGAGGTCGCTAACGGTATTTAAAATTTCTTGTAAAAGTGGTAGTGCTTCTTTATAGTTTTTATCGATTTTAATTAAATCACGTGCTTTATCTAATTGAGACTCTGCTTTTTTAACCTTTTCTAATAATTGTTTTGCTTGTGCATAATCTGGTCTGATCTTTAAAATCTTCTTGTATTGGTCAATTGCATCTTCGAAACGTCCTAACGATGATAAAATCTTGCCTCTCTTAATTAATGCATGAATATTTTCTGGATTGACTTCGATGGCTCTGTTTAAATCGCTTAATGCTAAAATATTCTTTCCACGTGAATTATAAATACCAGCTCTTTTAAATAATAATGATGCATAATTCTTGTGTGTGATATCTGACCCAATTAAATCTATGGCATTTGAATAGTTTTCGATAGCTATATCATATTTTCCTTTTTGGAAATTTTCATCACCAATTTTCATAAAATTTTCTATAATGTGCAATAAAAACCAAATTGTTAATAAACAATGAATGAGTTTTATAAATTGAGATTATTATGAATATTATCAGATATAATAATACATACCAATTTGATTCATCGTTTGCATGAACAAAAATATTTAAAAATAGCGAAAATATAATAATACAAACAAAAAACTTATTATTAATTATCATTATTGCCTATTATATTTTCATTTATTTAATATATTATTTATATCTTATATTTTTTTTTTTATAATAGGGATAATAAATTTATAATTATAAAAATAAAAATAATTTTCAAAAAAAAAAATAAAAATAAAAAAAATAAAAATAAAAAAAAAATAAAAAAAAATAAAAATTTTTTTATGACGAAGCATTCACCATGCTTATTTGTTTATATTGAAAACAACGATTTTCGCTCTCTTTTGACTCAAAAAGCAACACAATTGCCAAACTCAATTTATCACTTATTAAAGTTCAACAATCCTAATTTATAAATATGGTTTTAAGTATTTCGAGTTTATGATTTAATATTTTTATTCGACCTTTTTTTTTTTTTTTTATTTATTTATAATTTTTTAATTATATAATTTAATGTTATAATTATTTGAAATTGAATTTAAATAAATTAAAATTAATAAAGTTATTTAATAAAATTTTGAATTGATTAAAGTTGATTAAATTTGATATGGTATATTATTATTGATATTATTATTATTATTGATTATTTACTATTTAATTATTTTTAAGAATTTTATCAGAGTCCAAATATTGATTTAATGGATATTCATCTGGATAAAGTCTTAAGTGTTCTAATAATTCTTGTTGTTGTTCAATAAGATTTGGAGTTGGTGTGTGATAAACATCAGTGAAAATTTCAGAAATGGATGGTTTGAATTGTTTTTCAGCGACAACGAGTGAGTCACGAACAGTTTGACGAGCTTCAGTGATGAGTTCTTTTTCTTGAGCATCACTCCACCAGCCTTTACGGTCCATATAGTTTCTTAAACGAGTGATTGGATTTTTACCTTCCTTCCAATGATTGATTTCTTCGACGGTACGATAACGTGAAGAGTCATCAGAGGTAGAGTGATGACCAACACGATAAGTCATAGCTTCGATGAGAACTGGACGTTGTTCTTCGACGGTGATCTTACGAGCGAGTTTGGTGGCGTTGTATACAGCCCAAATATCGTTACCATCTACACGAATAGTTTTCATACCATAACCATTTGGACCACGACCAGCGATACCATCACCTTTATATTGTTCTTTGGATGGTGTTGAGATAGCCCATTTATTGTTACGACAAAAGAAGATAGTTGGGGTTGAAAGAGCAGATGCAAAATTCATGGCGGCATGGAAATCACCTTCTGAAGCAGCACCTTCACCAAAATAAACAATAGTGCAACTCTTTTCACCAGCTAATTTTTGAGCATATGAACTACCGACGGCTTGTGGTAATTGGGTAGTTAATGGTGATGAAATAGTTTGTAAATTAATTTTCTTTGAACCGAAATGCATTGGCATTTGTCTACCTTTACCTAAATCATGCTCGTTGGTGCAACATTGATTGATGATATCGGCAATTGTAAAACCTCTCCACATGAAAACACCAGTTTCTCTGTATTGTGCAAAAATTGTGTCGCTCATTTCCAAAGCTGCTGCTGATCCAACATGAATAGCTTCTTCACCAAATGATGTCATGTAAAATGAAATTCTACCTTGTCTTTGTACATCGTAAAGAACTGAATCCATAACACTTAATGTTACCATAGTGCTGTACATTTTAACGACTTCTTCTTTGCTAAAATTTGGGTCTTGTTCTGGTGATTGTACAATACCTTCTTGATTCATGATAGTGTAACATGGTATATAATGTTTTAATTCTTGAACTTCTAAATTATTGGTATATTGAAAGTTTTCTTTTTCTTCTTTAATTTCATTAACTTTGCTTGAAAAACTCTTTTTTTTTATTTGATGGGTTTGTTTTATAATTATTATTGTTGTTTTTATAAAAAATAAAGTTAAAATTAATATAAATGGTAATTCGTTTTTTTTTTAAATTATGATATCTAAAAAATATTTCTTTTTTTTTTTTTTTGCTATATTTATTAGAAAAAACCACATACTCTAATACCGTTAGTTTTTGATGAAGTTGAAACAACTGATCTATTTAAATAATTTGAAGCAACTCTTTTTAATCCATTGTTTTTGCTTAGATTTAATAAAACTCTTGATGTTTGACTAATCATCTTTTAATTTTTTCTTTTAATTCGTCTATTATTAAACAAAAAAAATAAAATAAAATATTAATAAATTATTTTAATTTTATTATAATATTATATAAACAATAATAGTTTTAATAAATAAAAAAATATTTGTTTAATCAATCAAAACGAAATTTCCCAAATCCAATATGAAAAAAAATATCCAAAAAAAAAAAAAAATAAAAAAAAATAATAGTTTTTTTGAAAAAAAAAAAAAAAAAAGAAAAAATAAAAAAAAATAAAAAATAAAAATAAAAAAAAGAAAAAAAAAAAATTAAAAAAAAAATAAAATAAAATAAATAAATTAGAAATAAATAATTATATTTATTTCTATGTATGAACAATTATAAAATGTTTACGAAATTATTTTATCAAAAAAAAAATAAAGATTTAAAGATAGTTCTGAAAAATAAATAATAATTATGGTTTTTTATTCGATTATGAAAAATAGGTATTATTAGTGGGGTGGGGTTAAGATATAAAACTATATTGTTGTTTAAAACAAATAAATAAAAATTTTTATATGTTTAATTTTTTAAAAGTTTTAATATTATTTATTTTATTTACATAATACTTTTTTATTTTTTATTATTATTTTTAAAAATTAATTAAAATAAATCGTTACTAATTATTGTGTTTTGAGTTAATGGGTAATTTATAATCTAAATTTTACAATAGGGGTTTTAGATGGAGAAGATGGTGGTGAGTTATTATTATTATTATTATTATTATTATTATTATTATTATTATTATTATTATTTGGTGCAGGATTATTAATATTGCTATTATTGCTGTTATTTGGTTTTCTGTATTAAAAATAAAATTTTATTAGTTTATAAACAATTTAAAAATATTTTTTTTAGATAACACTACTTACATTTTAATGGGTGAAATATCTGGTAGGATTAATGGATCATTTATATGGAAATTATATTTTGATTTCATTTTCGAATTAGTTGGAGTCTTGTTAATTGGGGTTTGAGGTGTTAAAAATATATGTTGTTGTTCTTGCTCTTCAATTTTGGTTAGGGCAGTGTCATTATTTTTTATATAATGATTGTTATTATTATTGAGATTTTTATTTAAACAAATTGGACTAACCAAAAGATCATCTGAATCGGTTGAAAAAATTGGTTTATTTGGGAACCTTTTTGCTACACTACAACTGCTATTTGATAATGATTTTTGGTTACTGTTAAAAAGTAAAGTACCTGGACGTGTAGGTGTTGACATTGGTGTATGGAACACAGTTGGCCTGCCAAATGAAATACCTGTTGTATTAATACTACTAACGCTACTGAGATTAATATTATCTATTAACCCATCATCTACAAATACCGAGACCCCAGTTTGATCCTTTTCTAGTGAATATGTATCATCCTCACTGTTTCCATTGTTATCACTACTAGTTGATTTTCTTTTGAGTCCACTAAGATTGCTGTTGTTACTACTATTGTGAATATTGGTATTATCTTGGTTTATACGTGATTTAAAGAGAAAAGAGTTATTTTGATGATAGTTATTATTATTATTATTATTTTGATTATATTTAGCATGTGGGAAAATTGTTGGTCTACTGAAATATTCGTTTGATTGCTTTTCATCTTCAATCTTCCATTTTTTAAACTCGTACATTTCAGTTGAATTGTCATATTCGTCCTCGCTACAGCAAAAGTTTTGTTGATTATCAACATCTAACGTTATATTTACAGGCATTATAGTGGCGAGCATATCGATTGACCATTCAAACTTTTTCTTTTCTTCTCCATCAACTTCATCATCTTCGTCATCTTCATCATCATCTTCATCATATTCCATATCTTCAAAGCGGTTTGAATTTAAAAAACGATTCTTATCTTCTTTACAATCTTCATCATCGCTTTGAATGTTTTCAAAAAATATTGAATTATTTGTTTTTTTACGATTAGTTAATAATTCATTATTTTCAATTTTATTATTATTAATACTATTATTTTCTTTATTTTCTATATTGTTCATTGTTTCGGTGTCAAAATTAAATAGCTGATTTCTATTTTTTATTGCTATACCACCTTCACAAAAATTTTTTCCATATGTCCATGAGGGAAATTCTGGAAAATTGGCTTTTGTTTTGTTTGATGATGGGCCTATAAATGGATTTCTTCTTTTCTTTTTTGTTTGGTTTTTTTTTGATGAAGAGGTTGATGAGGTTATTGGATTACTAACTATACTATTGTTGCTATTGGGCTTTGGGGTGTTTGGGTTAAACATTATTGGGCTACTATTAAATGATGTGTTATTTAAAAAGCTATTATTATTGCTTATTGGAGAGAAAAGAAATGAGGTGTTTGATGAAGATATTATTGGGGTTAATGGTGAAGTAATTAAACTACCACTAATACAATTAATTTTATCCATATCAAAATTTATATTAAGTACATTATTATTATTATTATTATTATTATTATTATTATTATTATTATTATTATTATTATTATTATTATCTTGATTATTTATTTTTATGTTATGTGATTCTGTATCTGGTATTTCCATTTTATATTTATTTTTTATATGATTAATTATTATATTATCATATCAATTTGGGATTTTTTTTTTTTAAAAAAGGAATGAATAGAAAACAAAACAAAACAAAATATAGTTTTTTTATTCTTATATTTGCAAGTTTATTCATTTATTTATAGATATTATCTTATTTAAATTAATAACCCCAAGGAAATTATAAACTCTTTTATTTCTTTTTTCGTATACGTTAAAAATAAATATATTCAATTATACCCCCCCCACCACAAACGAAAATAACAAAAAAATTATCCTTTTTATGAAATTAATATTATTTTTTTTACTTTTAAATATTTTGGAGGGGCTGCACATCAAGGAAAAAATTTAAATTTTTGAAAAAATGAAAAAAAATAAAATAAATATATTTTTTATAACAGACATCGAATTTTTTTTATTTAACAATCTTATTTTTTATGGTTTTTATTATTTACATTTAGTAAATATATTTATTTTTGCAAATTTTCTTTTAAAATAAAATCTAATTTCAAATAATTTATTTTCTAAATATTTTGATCAAAATATAAATTATAATTATAAAATTTAAAATAAATTTTCCACCATATATGGCTTTGAATATTTTTTTTTTTTTAACTATCAATTTATATAAATGTTGAATATTAACCTTTATTAAAAAAAAAAAATGAATGAACACAAAACCAAATATGGGTGAGATATCTAGATTATGATAAAACTATATACATATATTAATCACAGCCAACCTCTGAAATATTATTTTCAAGAAAAAGTTTGGTTTGAATTTAATTATTAACCAATTATATCCATATATATATTTTAATTATAAAATATTTAAAATAATTCTTTTTTTAAAAAATTTTAAATTTTTTGAATTAATTTTTTTATTTTTTTTATTTTTTTTTTTTTCAAAAACGATAATATATTACGGTAATAATGACAGATTTTGAATTTGTTATTATAAATAATAATAATAATGATAATAGTACATTCTCAAGTGATATAGTAAAGTTATTCAGATCATCAAAAAAACCATTAGATACATTCTTTACCTATGAATTGCAAATTAACAAATTCAACGATATAGAAAAGAAAAGAAAAGAATATTTAAACATTGAAGAAAATGAATGTTTAGAATCAGAAATTTTAAAAAGAAGAAAAACATCAAAATATATAAATACAATTAGAGGAAGAAATAAATCAAGTGATGAAAATGAAAAAGTGAAAAAGAACCATTTAGAAATGTTAAAGCAATCAGTTGTGACAATTGAAGACTTAAATCAGTTTCAAAAAATTAAATATTCTGATAAAAAGGGCCAAATAGTATATTGTAATAATGAAAAAGAAAAAAAAAACAACAGTTGCACAAATGTTGAATATATAGATAAGAAATGTACAGATATAATGTTATCACAATATGATCATTTGGATTTACATTTAAAGAAACCTTTATTTGACCAAATTTACGAATATTCTTATAAGAACGATTTCACCAATGATGATAGTAAAAAAGAAGGTGACGAACAAAAAGAAGAAAAAGGAAAAGAAGATAATGAAGAAAATCGTGGAAATGAAGAAAATAAAGAAAAAGAAGAAAATGAAGAAAAAAAAGGTAAAGAGGAAAATAAAGAAAAAGAAGAAAAGGAAGAAAAGGAAGAAAAGGAGGAATATAACGAATCTGGTGTTTATTTATTCCCTTATTATCCAAAAGCTATTGTATACAATATTATAGATGACAACCCCAATTATATAATACCTCATTCAAACTATAATACAAAGCATAAACACTTTAGCACCAACACCCATGTACATAATATTTATAAAAATTATTTAAATCAAAATAATAATCAAAATAATCAAAATAATAATAATAATAATAATAATAATAATATTAATTTCTCAATATTAAGCATAGAAAGATTTGATAATGATGGAAATATAATAATAGAGAATACTCAAGTAAATAATGACAGTTCAGAAAATATCAGCTCTGTAACCAATGAAAATGTAAACAATACCACAACTCCAACTGACGCAGTATCAAAGAAAAAATTAAAAAAGAAAAAATTCTTTAAAAGAGGATAAACCTAAATAAAATCAAAATCAAAATCAAATTAAATCATAATTAAATCAAAATTAATTATTTCAAATAAATTAATTTTAAGTTTAAACGAAATTAATTTATTTTTATTTTATTTTTTTTTATTTTTTTTCAATTTTTTTATTTTTTTTTTTTTTATTTTTTTCAATTTTTTAAAATTTTTTATTTAAAATTTATTTATTTTTAATAAAATTCGTAATTCATTTACATCCATACATTTTAATATAACTTAACATAAAAACAAATAAATAAAATGGAAAATACCAAAGAAGAAAACAATGATGCCCCAGATGTTAAACCAGAAGATAATCATATCAACTTAAAAGTTAAAAGTGCTGTAAGTAACATTCCCTCCTAAATTCAAGAAATATCTGTATATTAATTATATTAATAATATTATACTATTCAAACACAAATTCAAATACAAATACAAATACAAATAAAAAATAATACACAAAAAAATAAAAATAAAAATAAAAAAAACTAAAAATAGAATGGCGCTGAAATTTTCTTCAAAATCAAAAGAACTACTCCACTTAAAAAATTAATGGATGGTAAGATTTATAACATATATTAGTATTGGGATGATAAGAAAAAAGGTATTAATAATTCTTCTAATTAATTTAGCTTATTGTCAAAGACAAGGTCTTCAACAAGGTATGTTTGATATAATCAAAACATAATCATTAAACAAATTATTTCACATACTAATTTTTCAAACAACTATAGGTTCAGTTCGTTTCTTATTTGATGGTCAACGTGTTAAAGATGATGCCACTCCAATTTGTAAATATTACTTAAATATGTTTATATAACAAACAAAATTAAATCTCATTTTGCTAATATAACCAAAACTTAACAAAATTTAGCTTTAGATATGGATAATGATGATGCTATTGATGTAGTTCTTCAACAAACTGGTGGTTCATTCTAATAAAAATATAAGAAAAAAAAAATAAAAAAGATAAAAAAAAAACCAAAAAAATAAAAATAAAACCAAAAAGAAAACAAAAAGAAAAACCTTTTTTTTTTTTTTTTTTTTATTAATTACAAATAATTAATAAAATAATTCAACCTTCAATCTAGCTTTATAATTAGAAATCTATTTATTGGAAGATAAATTTTATTTGGAATAAAAATTAGAATCTTATTCAAAAAAACAAGTTGATCAAAAACTCCATAGGGTGGCAAATGAAACAATAATGATAATAATATAAAGGGTTGCCCAACTGCTACATCATAGATATTTTTTTAAAAACTATTTTTTTTTTTTTTATTTTTTTAAAATTTTTTTTATTTATTTTTTAACTTTTTTTTTTTATTTTTTTAAAATTTTTTATTCTCAGCAATACGTAAAAGATAATTTTTTTTATTTTTATTTTGGTTGTATATAAATAATTTAAAACATTTTTTAACACTCCCAACCACACACATTAAATTAAAATCTTTTTTTTAAAAAAAAGTTTACATATAAATTTATCTAAAGTTTTTTTAAAAATAGTTTAATATCTTTAAACACACACACCTACACATATATATATCATATAAAAAATGGACTACGAAGAAGATTCATCATTTAAACCAGATCCAGTTTTCACCAATTCAAAGCCAAAATGGGTCGACGATGCAGCATGCCCATGTTGTCATAAATGCAAAACTAATTTCACAATATTAAATAGAAGAGTAGGTATTTTATATATTCATTCTACAGATAAAACAAAATAAATTACAAATAAACGAATCATTTTTATTAACATACACATCAAACCTAATCATTATAGCATCATTGTAGAAGATGTGGTTTAATTTTTTGTAATAAATGTTCATCAAACGAAGCTAAAATCCCACAATTAGGTTTTAATTTTGTTCCAGTTAGAGTTTGTGATGAATGTTACAGAATGGTTAAAATGTAAAATTAAAAAAAACACTAAAATAAATAAAATAAAAAAATAAAATAATAAAAACAAAACAAAACAAAACAAAACATAAAAAGCAGTCTCTTTAAGTTTTATTTCTTTATAAAATTTACAAAATACAGATCACAGGTAAAAATTTAGATCAAAAGGATAAATTGTAGATTAATATCAATAGATTTTAAAATTAAAATTAAAAGACGAGAAAAAAAAAAAGAAAAATAAAAGAAATTTTTGTAATAGATTAATTTTATTGTTATTATTAAAAGATTAATCATAATTTAAAATCGATAAAGATAAAGCTTTATGTAAAAGTACATTTGTAAAGGTGTCATCTCTTATTGAAAGACTTTGGTGATAGTAGTCTATAGCTTCATCAAAACTGCCTTGAAGATGATAACAGAAACCCAGAGCGGTAAAAGTCGAGGGATTGTTTGGGATTAAAGATAAAGACATATTATAATAGTGAAGAGCCAAGTCATATCTACGCAATTTCCTGTAGCAATGGGCCAAATTGTAAACTGTTGGTTCCCATGACTCCATATATGACATCATTACCATTGATTTCTTTTTTTCATTATTATTGAGTTTAAATCTATTATTGTTATTTATATTACCATTACTATTAAAACTATAATTTAATTGATTATTATTATTATTTTTGATTTTACTGATTTCTAAAGCCATTTCGAAAAGTTTGATAGCTTCTTCAAATTGAGAGTTTTTATATTCTATAATACCCAATTCATTAAATGTCATTGGATCATAGGGACAGATATCTTTGGCTTGAAGGATGTATTGAGATGCTAAATTTAAATTATGGACACGGATTAACTCCATACCAATACAAAGTAATGGTAAATGACAACCTGTTAATAATCTTGATGATGTTCTATAGGCAGCCATTGCTTGATCGTGCTCACCTTTAGTTGCGAAAAAGTGACCGAAACCTAGCCAAAAAGCACCAATACGACTATTTAATGTTGTGGCCTTGGTAAAGAATTTTTGAGTGAGATCAGAGTTTTGAATTAACTGATAATAGCATGCAATACCGTACCAAGAGATGGAGGAGTTTTGTGAAAAGCTATCTATTAATTGATGGCATGTGTAATATAGTTCGTTGGTTAATTGTAGTTCAAATAGTGATGATATTAATACCATAATGCAAGTACTATTATTATAATATTTATCTTCTTTTAAAATTTTCTTTGTAATTGAATAACTTTCTTGAAATTGTTGTTTATAAAAATAATATTCTGAAATCATTGTTAAAATATCATTACAATTTATTAGTTTATTTCTAATATCATTTATTTTTAATAAACTATTATTTGAATTATTTGTTTTTGTAGATGTGTTGGTTGAGTTATTATTATTATTATTATTATCATTGTTATTTAATGAGTTATCGTACAATTCTATATAGTTATAATGTGATGTAAAATTTGGGTTATCATACTATAATTAAAGTTTTAAAAGAAATAGTTAGTATAGTTAATAGAGAGTTTAGTATATAAATATATAATAATTACTTTTTTAAGTGAAAGTGCGTAAATTTCTTTTAACCAAATATCATCTGCTTGAAAGTTGAGTTTTTTTAAAAGTTGAATTTCCTCTTGGAATGTTAATAAATGACTTTTGGTAAGTGATTCGAATGCTTCATAACAGTTGTAGTCTAAAAGTAGTGCTTTGATATACCAAAATTTTGCTTTTTTTAAATTATCCATATTTTCAAAACATTTTCCTTTAATTAACGCAATGTTTGATTTTATTATTAATATTTCTTTATTATTTTTGCTGTTATTATTATTATTATTGATATTTTCATCATTTTTATTATCTGTATTGCTTTTATTCATATTTACATAAAATTTAAGTAAATCTTTTCCTGTATAATTTTCTTCATCATAGTCATCATAATCATCTAAATTATCATTTATATTGCTATTATTGATGTTGTTATTGGTGTTGTTGATTATACTGCCATCTTCATTATTATTATCTGTATTATTATGATTATTATCTAAGATCTGTAGGCATTGGTCAAACTCGTTGGTCTCTATTTTACATTTTGCTGATAAATATTTTAATTTTAATATTATTAAGGCTTCATCTTCTCCTTGATGTTTTAAATTTCTTTGATTTAAATATTTTTGAATTAAAAATGATGATCTTTGATATTGTTTATCACAATATAATGCATTACAAAGTATATATAAATTCTCTATATATTCTATATAAAATATTGTCAGTATTGGTGTTTTTTAAATGATTTATAATTTAAATTTGAAGTATTACTTTTAGAATTTAATGGAACTAAATTTAATAATTTGTCTGCAAAGAAAATTGCTGATGTATACGAATGGGTTAAGACTGAACTATCAATTTTACATTTTAATTGATCTTCGATAGTTGTCGAGTTAAATATCAGTGTTGGAGGTGATTGTTCGAAAATAGATGTCGCCATTCTTTTATATAATATATAATATATAAAAAATTAAAAATATACTCAAAAACAAAAAAAAAAATTTTAAAAAAATTAAAAAAAAATTAATTAAATAAAAAAAAAAAAAAAAAAGCGCCTCCTCTGAAATGCTTTTATAAAAAAAAAATTTGGATCATCAACATTTTACTTTAGGGATTTAAAGAATGAAATAAATCATTATATTTGAAAAATAAAAAAAATAAAAAAAACTAAAACTATATTATTTATTTTTTTAAAATTTAAAAAAATTAATTCATCCCATTTTAAATATATATATATATCATTAATAATTACTTAATTTTTTTTAATATTTTACTTTATTAACCTTTATAATCATTTAAAATTCATATCATATTATTTTGATGTTGATTTTATTTATTTTTTTTTATTTTTTAATTTTATTTTTAATATTTTCTCTGTAATCAGGAAAGAAAGGCTATTTTTTTTTTTTTTTTTTTTTTTTAAATTACAATCACAGCCAAAGTGTTGCCTTTTTTATTAATTAATTACAATATGATCTATTGACCAAATTAAGAAAATAAATTTGATTGTGTTAAAAACACTTTTTTTAAAAAATTTTAATTAAAAAAAAAATTTTTATTAAACAAATTTAGCCCCCACATAATTTTTAATTTATTTTTTTTTTAATTTTTATAATTTATTTCATGCCAAATTAAAAAAACTAATTTATTAATTATCTTTTTTTTTTAATAAATTATAATTTTTTAATTTTTTAATTTTTTTTTTCTCTTCATACTCATTGCATTTTATATACATATCTATTCCATATTTTATTAAAAAAAAAATACCTTCGTAAGTAATAAAATTTTTATAATTGTATATTTTTTCGGCGGCGCCATATTAATTAAAAAAAAAAAAAAAAAAAAAAAGCAAAATGTTTTTTTTAGTAATAGTAGTTATCTTATATAGTTGTTTTTTATTTTTTATTTTCACCAAACATGGCAACAACAACAATAGCCCACCACCACCAACAACCCCACAACAATCAGAACCAACATCAAGACCATTTCCCATTTCACAAGAAGGACCAGCATTAACAAGAATACCAAGACCACAACAACAACAATACCAAGCAAGACCAACACAATCCCCATCCCCATCCCCATCCCCAAGCCAAGCAAGACCAAGACCAACATCATCGCCATCGCCATCCCCATCTCCATCTCCATTGCCATCGCCATCACCAAACCAAGCAAGACCAACACAATCCCCATCGCCATCCGCCATCACCAAGCCAAGCAAGACCAAGGCC